TTCCCTACATCCTTGTCACTGCCCAAATTTCCCAAAGCCCTCCCTTAGCTGTTCCCACTGCAGGGGGCTGGCCTCCCCAAATCCCCAGCTTTCCCTGGTTCAATGGACACCCCACTCCACAGACTTCAGTGGAAGTTCTCTTAACTGCTTTGCCCCCGAGAATGTTTCAGGAGAACGCTGCCTGGCTTACAACGTGATTTGGAAATATGCTGCTGGCTGTGTTTTATGCATTTTATCAAGTGTTTTTAACTTTGTACTGGCTGGGACCATGAAGGGCACAGTTTTCGAAGGTTGAAGTTAATAATTTCACACCAGAAAACGTTCAACCGGGGTCGCCGAGCAGCAAGCTGCCTGAGTCTCAATATTCTTGAGCCCTGGAGGCAGCCTCACAATGAAAGGTTGCACAGTGGCCATGGGTCGAGTTTGAGGCTGGATAATATAGTAGTTGAGCCCAGGTTTTCTTGGAGACAAGCCAACTGACTGGCCACGTAATCTCAGGCATGGTAATTAATCTCTCTAAAACCTCAGTTTCCTCATCTGTAAAATGGGGTAGGTAACCTCTGGGTTTTTGAGAGAATTCATAAAATGCTTAGGGCTTTGCTGGTGGCACAGTGGTTAAGAATCCCCCTGCCAATGCAGGGGACATGGGTCCGAGCCCTGGTCGGGGAAGATCCCACATGCCGCGGAGCAACTAAGCCCGTGTGCCACAACTACTGAGCCTGTACTCTAGAGCCTGCGAGCCACAACTACTGAGCCTGTGTGCCACAAGTACTGAAGCCCGTACACCTAGAGCCCGTGCTCCGCAACAAGAGAAGCCACCACAATGGGAAGCCCACGCAGCGCAACGAAGAGTAGCCCCCGCTCGCCGCAACTAGAGAACGCCCGCGTGCAGCAACGAAGACCCAAGACAGTCAAAAATAAAAAACTTTAAAAATTTTTAAAAATGCTTAGACAAGTGGCTGGCAGGCACTAACCACTTCCTAAGCAGTGGCTGCTGTCAGAATTGCTATGACTCGTCGTGCTGTTGCTCTCTGAGTGTCCTTAAGGAAGGAAGGTGTTTGCCTCATCTAATGACCCTCATGGAGGCTGGCAATCTGGCTAGGTATATTTTGATTGTCATCCCACTTAGGTATGTCACATTCTAAAATAAGACAGCTAAGGAGCATGTGTCCAAGGACATCCTGGGGGAACTTAGTCGACATTCCATGATGAAACCAACAAATCAGGTTTTCACGTTCTCCATTTTCATCATCTTTAGACTTTAAGCTATTTAAGGTCAAGGGCCCACTCCTCATCACTGGCAACTCCAGGGAGGGAACGTGCCTGTCACCGAGGTCCTCACAGCCTCTTCTGCTGGATTTGAGGAAACTGAGCCTCTGCAGCTCAAGTGCCTAAAACTGTCAATGTGTAGCGCACAGCAGGTGCTTAAGACATTTTTTTCTTAATAAATAGAAAATAACATTAAATAATATTAATAGAAAAATTTTAAAGGCTAAATAGAAATCACGAATGAATGAATGAATGAGACAGTCATGTGTATCTAGTTTCCTTTACTCCTTCTCACCACATTGTCCCTGATGGGGAAACCACTAACATTTATTGAAGGAATTTTTCCCCAGTACAAAAACAATATACGATTGATGCTTAAAACTTAGAAAACACGGAAAAGCACCGAGGAAAAGACTAACAGTGGTTACCACCTTAGGCATATTTGTGCGGTTCCTTCTGGCTTTTTGTACAATGCATACAAATACATGATTATTTAACAAAATATCATCAGATTATACACCAAATGCTCTTTTCAGCCTGCTTTTTTTTTTAACGTAGCAATGCATTATGAATAGGTTCTCAGCTCAGCAAATATTCCTCACTATAATTTTAAATGGCAGCAAGGTATTCTATCTAGACATACTACATTTTATTTAATCCCTGTCCAATCACTGAACATTCAAGCTCAATAATTAATTTAAAATAAAATGTACACGCAGATTCTAATTCACGTTTTCGGTGGCTATCTGTAGTTTTTTAAGTTCCACAACTGATTCCAATCAGTAGCCAGGACTGATGGCTGAAAAGCCACAATGAAAAGCTACTTCTAGGATGTTCTCTCAGGAAACCTCTGGAGTTGGAATACAAATGAGGAAAATTTCCATGCCTCAAGAATGTCAACAAATCTGGATTACAAAAACTCTGCTGCTTCCAGGGTGCACAGCACTGTCACAGATCACAAGAAGAAAGAACATTGGTCCTCTTGTCATCGTCAAAAGTGGACCAATTTAGGGCTTCCCTGGTGGCACAGTGGTTAATAATCCGCCTGCCAATACAAGGGACATGGGTTCGAGCCCTGGTCCGGGAAGATCCCACACGCCGTGGAGCAACTAAGCCCGTGTGCCACAACTACTAAGCCCGTGTGCCACAACTACTGAGCCCACGTGCCACAACTACTGAAGCCTGCATGCCTAGAGCCTGTGCTCTGCAGCGAGAAGCCACGACAACAAGAAGCCCACGCACCACGATGAAAAATAGCCCCCACTCACTGCAACTAGAGAAAGCCCACACTCAGCAATAAATTTATTAAATAAATAAATTAATTTTTTTAAAAAAAGTGGACCAATCTGATCCAGTGCCACCAAGAGGGTATCAACTTTATTTCTGATAAACAGCCACTTTGAGAACTATACAGTGATGTTTTGCCAGCTGGAATGATTTATTTTTATCATTTCTTCCCCTTTCGTTGCTTCAATTAGTTGCCAAGATATGATAGGAGGAGGTTACTGTCCCTTAGGAGCCCAGATGTAGAAGGGATTCCTACAAAATGTAAAGATTTAAAGATTAAAGACAGCCCAGAGTTTATAAAATTATGTTGCAATTTAGTTAGTTTGATTTTTAGCCAAACACCATACCAATTTATTTTCCAATATGTAGAACAAAGGGGAGGTCATTTTAAAAAGTGAAAAACTGGGAGTTCCTTGGTGGCCTAGTGGTTAGGATTCAGTGCTTTAACTGCTGTGGCCCAGGTTCAATCCCTGGTCAGGGAACTGAGATCCCACAAGCCACGCAGTGCAGCCAAAATCTTTTAAAAAATAAAAATAAAAAATGAAAAACTGATTCAAAGGGAGCTGGCAACAGCTTCTTGAAAGCAAAGTCTGCCTTGGTTGCCTTCATTCTCTACAGCATCTATCATGATCTCTAACATGCAGCTAATGTTTGGTAAATGAATTAATGCCTGAAAGAATGAGTTAATGAATTAGGGGATGGTCCTCTATCCCACTTCAAGCCATACAGTATAAATGATCTGAACTACTCAGTTTTCCTGCAGATTGGCCTTAATCTCCAAAGACCACCCCACCAATAACTCCCCCGTTACTGAAAAACTCAAAATAGGTAGTATTCGTATTCAGCCTTGCAATTCAAAGCACAGAATCAAAAACCCACAGAAATATGTCACCAGTCTCCCCCTAAGAGGTACTGTCAACTGAAGTAACAATAATAATGATGATGATGATGATGATGATGCAGGATGCTGCAAATAAGAAAGAGTTTATTTGGGGGGTCTTAAGAATTGCAATTCAGGAGACACAGATTCAGGTTACTTGGAAAG